TGGATTGCTTGTTTGTTTTGAAGGACCAGGTGAAACTGAGCACTCACTTCGGTCTTGCATTAGGCAATCTGTATTCATTTCTGGTGGCATTAAATAGGTGGAATGATGCCTCTTTCCCTCTGGGATACTTGGCACTGGTGGGACTGCACCTCAAATCCTGGGGGCAGCTCTGGGCCCCTCCCAACAAGAGTGATATTGAGGGACTGGAGTGTGTCCAGAGAAAGGAATGGAGCTGGGAAAGGGCTGAAGCACCAGGAGGGGCTCAGCCTGCAGAAAAGGAGGCTCAGGGGGGACCTTCTCACTCTCAACAACTCCCTGACAGGAAGGTGCAGCCAGGTGAGGGTGGGGCTCTGCTCCCAGGGAACAGGGACAGGACAAGTGGAAATTACTTCAGGATGGACCACGGGAGGTTCAGGTTGGGTATTAAGGAAAACTTCTTCCTTAAAGGTATGTCCAGCCTTGGCACAACCTGACCAGGGCAGGGTGCAATCCCCATCCCTGGAGGAATTTAAAAACGGTGTGGATGTGGCACTGTGTGGGATGGGTTAGTGGTGGCCTTGGCAGTGCTGGGGGAGTGGCTGGACTCGATGATCTGAGACTGCTTTTCCAATCTCAGTGACTGTATCCAGAGAAGTGCTGTTTCTATTCAAAGTATCCTGACTCCTGTCATACTTTTGTGGTTTCGTAAACTGCTCATCTACTGCCTGGGGAGTTTCCTGGTGGGAATTTGTACTTAGGTCTGTCCTGCAGTGTGTTGTTTAGCCAGAATTGTCAGAGTGCTTTTGGAGAGGGTGGCCACTGGGTGACAGCCTATAGAGTGGTGGTGTGACACAGGCAGTGTAACACTGTGCAAGGCTTCGAAACTTGTCCCTTTCCTGTAGAGCAGATGCAGCTCTGGCTGGCAGGAGGGGCCTGGGCTCCTTGCAGGGTGTCTTGGCTGCCAGCAGGGCTCAGCTGTGCAGGTCAGGACCCATGGCAGGTGACAGGGACTCATACTGTTGGTGCCTAAAGGATGTGTCAGCTTTGGCTTGGCTTTCAGCACAGCATCTCCTGAACTGGTGCACTGAAGTTAGAAGCAAGGGAGAACCTCAACACATGGAGGACTTTCAACCCTGTCTTTACATGGTCCAGATGTGTGCATTGGGTTAACAGACTAACTTCTTGCTGATATGTTTGATCCTGTTACTTGTTGCATGTCTGGAAGAACCAATTACTATATTGCTGATGGTCAGATTGTCTTTTCTTTACAGTTTAGTTGCTGCATGAAGTGGTCTGTGCAGCCATGGTAATAATCAATACCTTCCTTTCCTTGCTGCTGTTAAATTACACTGGTTATTTTAATTTTCATGTTGAATTAAAGCCTTTCAGCATTTCATTACCATGACTGTAATTGCCAAGGCCAATGTGTCAATTTAATTAAAACATTAAGTAGGATTGTTTCTTTGCTTTTTTGGGTTTCTTTTGCCTTTGCCTGCAGTGGACCTGGCATTCTTTATTGTGTTACATTCTAGATTAGCTTCAGATCCCAGAGAGCCCTTTTTGTTCAATTTCTGTTGGTAAATTTGCTGCTTTTAGTTTCCCCACAGCTCAAAGAGAAGTTGAGCTCCTCATGGCCCAGCTGCTGGCTCTGGGGGTCTCTAGTCCCAACCATTTGCCGGGTGGTTGGGCAGAGCTTTCACCTTTCTCTGGCCGTAGTAAGTGGCCAGGGAAACTGGGTAACATACTCATGCTACTCTGAACCAGATCTGGGGCTTCTTGTGAGGGTGTGGCCTGGTGTGCTGCCACTCCCCAGTTCTTTTTCAATGTGCAAGTCCATTCCGTACTGATACTCTAGTTATTGTGGATTTTTCCCAGTTTTTATACCTTTTATTCCTAGATTGTAAATCATTGCTGTGACTTGTGATTTAGGCTGTTTTTATTTTTTGTTTAATTGACAGATCATGTGAACTACAGAATGTCTCTCCAAAAATCTGTGCTCTTTCAGCAACAGTTACACAGATGTTTGAGAGCTATAGAAAAGATATGTATTGGACAATGGAATAACTTTCCAAAGGGAAATTTAACTTCCAGACCTTTTCCCCCTTAGAGCTGTTGTGCCACTCCATCCATATTCCTTTAGAGTACTTGAAATTCTTGTTGAGTTTCCTTGCCTTTTGCTTGCATGGACTCAGAGCTGTGTTTGTACTTCTGTAATGCAGAGCTGCTTCCTCTGCTGTGCTGCAGAAATTCAGGCCAAGCTGGGCCCAGGTCACTTCCTCCCTCAGAGTCTAGAAGCTGCCTAGTCTGGGGCTGTCTGGGACAAACACCAGAGTAATAAATTATCTCAGTGCTTTGCCGAACATGGAAGGGATGTGCGGTAGGGATTTGGCAAGGAGGAGGAATCTGCTGTTGCCTTTCAGTTGTCTGTCTGCATTTTTCCCCTTTTACTCTTCTCCCCAAGCTATTGAATCTCCTGAGGAACAGAATTGCCATTGGTGATGTCAGCAGGGCTTGGTGTCCTGACTCATATCTGGTGCTCTGGGATATTGCCTATGAGTCATGGAAATCATGTACGCTCGGGGAGCTTGGCCACAAGTGGGAGATGTGACAAGTCCACAGCCCCAGATGCATTACTGGGACAGATTTTCAGTAGTTGTTAGTGCTTGAGGACTTACTCAATCCAGTAAAGCTGGACAGCTTTCAGCAGAGGGCCTTTAACTGTTGGACTCCATTATTTAGATGTCTTCTCCAGCCTTGATGTTTCTGTGAGCAGGCAGCAGGTGGGATGAAGAAGGAGAATCCAAAGGGATGCAGGGGCACTGGGCAGCAGTGTGGTGGCTGTTACCCTGTCTTTGTACTGCTCACGTACACCTGCCTCTCTGCTGCCTTGGGCTTCTTTAACCTTTCCTGAAATTAAAGCCTTTTGCCATTCAGCTTTAGTAATTGTACTGGGTGATTTTTTGCTGCTGTCATCCCTCAGATATTAGTTATTCTAAAATTTGAAGGAATAAATGGTCTATCCTTAATTATTTTTATTCCTTCAGTGTTCTTTAATGATGAAACATAACAAGCCTGGCCTGTTGGTATCAATATGTTTATATGTATATATATATGTGTATATAAAATCAAGTTTTTAGGATCAATATGAATGCCTTCCTAAACCACATCTCAGTCCTTTCACCCTCAGTTATGTAGGCAGCTCAAGTGGAAGGAAGTGGGGTGGTTCATAGTCGGCTGTCACCTCCTGTGATGATTTTCCATAGCTGCTCTCTGTAGCTCAGGCTCTCCTTGTGTAATTATGGCCTGTAGCCCTTATTCCTGCCTGTGCCGGGCTTTGCAGCTAACTGGTTGTGTCACGCTTGTTTACTGCTGAGTTGCCAGAGAAGTCTGTATCGCTCTGGTTTTACTGTGCTTGGCACCCTTTGTCCCTGCATTGTGTCGTCACCTGCAGTGTCAGAGCATTAAATGTCATTGGGCCTGTTCAGAGTTCCTTGGGAGATCATAAAGAATCCCACCTGCATTGGTGACTTGTCAGCTCTGTGTTGTCAGGCTATGGAAGGAGTAGAATGGGGTAGAGTAACTCAGCTGGAATGATGAAATTGGGTAAATTTGGTCATATGAAAGTGGCTGCCAAGGGAGAAGGGATTTTTGAGGGAGTGCTTATATAAGGTGAGAAGTTTCCAGCAATAGGATGCTGATGGGGTCCCTAGTGAGGGAAGAGAAGGTGACATGATTTTAGAAGGAGGAGCTCTGAAATGTTTTGGAGGTGTCAAGTTTTGGAGGTGATAGAAGTAGAAGATGAGTCTAGATTTGCCAGGCAAATCTGTGTTCACGGTTATCTCAGGGGGGGAAACTGGATCAGCTGAAAGCTGCCAAGTCTGGTAATCGGCACCAGCCCTGTCCGAGTCCAAGGGGTGTTGGGACAGTGCTCTTAGACATAGGGTGGGATTCTTGGGGTTTTCCTGTGCAGGACCAGAAGCTGGACTTCAGTGATCCTTGGGAGTCTCTTCCAGCTCAGGTTGTCCTGTGAATCTGTGAAGTTATTCTTGGTGTGTGGTCAGCAGATGGGAACAGTAATGGTTGCTGGTTGACAATTAAAAGCTGAATTCTACCTTCTTGTCCTCTCTAAGTGCTTTGAATCCAGTTCTGTCACTGCACATTGCCTGGTGCAGTGGGATATGCACCATGACTGTGACTGCTGTGTGCCTGTGAGATTGCCTGGCAAATGTTTTGCAGTAAATGTCATGGATTTTGGATGAAAGAGACCATGTTCATCTTTGAATGCTGCTACATAGCTGAAGAAGAGCAATGTTATAGAAGACTTTGCTTCTGGGAGCGGGGTTCACCTCTGATCTCTGCAGCTCTTTCAGCCTTATGTCTTTCCACAGCCCCTGCCATTCTCATGCTGGGCTCCAAACTCTCAATCCCCTCCCCTTTTGCTGCTTTCTGAGTGCTCATCTGAGTCTTTAATATTCAGTGTGGAAGTACTTGTGCTGGGTCAATCTTTACAATTATTAACTAAAGAAATTACTGCAGTGGTTTCCCTTGTGTTGTTGGTTCCCAGCTCTGAAGCTTCAGCTTTCCCCTTATTCCTCTCTGCTTTGAGTTGCAAGTGTCATCACCTTTCAGAGGATTCCTTCACAAAGTTGTGTCTGAGTTCTTGAGACATTTCTGTATCCCTTTTGTATTGTTGGAGTGGTTTTTTTGTGGTGGAATGAACTACAGGTATCCTGAACCATGAAAATGTAATATATTGTTGGCGAAAGGCAGCTTTGCTGTGACACAGTGCTTGTCACACAAGGTTTTCCCACCACTGTGCTCAGGACTTGCTGCTCACATGGTCTGCAGTGACTCATGTTTTGGATATGCCCTGCTCCAAGATATATGTGCAAATCCTATCCTGGAATCTCATTTAATTAAAAAATAATGAGCAGAGTTCATAATTTTCCAGTGAGCGCTGCATGGCAATGGTCTGGTCTTGCTGGCTTAGAGCTCACAGGTCTCTCCACCCTTCCCTCCAGGTGAACCAGCGCAATGTCCCGGGGATTGACAGTGCCTACCTGGCCATGGATACGGAGGAAGGTGTGGAAGTTGTCTGGAATGAAGTTCAGTTTTCTGAGCGGAAGAACTTCAAGCTTCAGGAAGTAAGTTGATGTGTCTCCCAATAGGATGTGAGAATCATACCTTTCCCTGGGGTGGGATTATGGATACTTTTTGTGTTGGTTATTGGCTGGGTTTGGAATGCTGTGCTGTCCAAATGTAGCAAATTTGGCTTAAGCCTGGCCTGTATAGGAAATGTCCTGGAAGACTGTTGTGCTATTTCCATGAGCCAGTCTGTTCATTTAGACTTGCCAATCAAACCACACTCTGCTGAGATGCAGTGTAGAAGAAAATGGGATCCTGTCTGTTCTTAGCATAGGGGCTTGACATATACATTAGTGTTTGAGGGGACCAAAACCCAAAAAGAAAGAAGGATATTTGGTGTGGTCTCTGATATCATATGTTTTTGTCTTTCTGACGTTAAGGAAAAAGTTAAAGCAGTGTTTGACAACTTAATTCAACTGGATCATCTCAACATTGTGAAATTCCACAAATACTGGGCTGATGTCAAAGAGAACAAGGCCAGGGTAAGTGCAGCTATCAGGCCTGTTGGGCTCTCCTTGTTAGGTAATTAGCAAGGTGGAGGGTAACGTGTCATGCTGCCCCACAGGTGATCTTCATCACTGAGTACATGTCTTCAGGGAGCTTGAAACAGTTCCTGAAGAAGACTAAGAAAAACCACAAAACTATGAATGAAAAGGTAACTCTTGTTTTCTGTGTGACAATGACTCTATAGATCCATCAGCCCCTGGAAAGCCCTTTCAGCAGAGGAGCCAGTGAGAACTGGTGATAACACATTGCTGAAGCTCCCCTGTGTCCCTGTAACTAGTTCAGCTGCAGGTTCTCTGGGACAGCAGTTCTGTGCTGGTTGCTTCACTGCCAGCAGCTCTGCAGCTTCTTAGGTGTGGTGTGACAGGCATGTCCCTCTGCAGGGGCCCTCACAGGAAGGGGGGAAGGTGTCTGTACAGAGGAGACTGGAGGACAAGTGTGTTTCTGGACCCATGGGAATATGTAGAAACAAGCTGACCATAGAAGTACTTAGTTCTTCACACATGCACTGAGTAAAAGCATGTATTGCTTCCTGCAAGTGGGCTGTGAATCACAGAACTACAGATGAGCTTCTTGTGGATGATTTTTTTCCTTTTCCTCTTGTATCTGCAGGCATGGAAGCGGTGGTGTACCCAGATCCTCTCTGCTCTCAGGTACGTGGGGTACTGACGTTAAGATCCCAGCCACTGGGACTGATGTGACAGTTAAGTATTAGAAAACTCTCCAGAGCATCCAGCTTTATAATCCAGGTTTCTCCATGGTCAGGTGAATGTTGCAAAGTTCCACGAGACAGGACTGAGAAAAACTTCCATAGTGTTGTCAGGCTGCAGGCCTGTTACAGACAGTGGATTCATGGATATTGAGGCATGGTGTTGTTCAATGTGTGTGTACATTTCTTGATGATGCAGCTCTTCTGCAGCCATCTTAGTGCAATACAGCTGAGTAGAATGTGGTTTGGGTTTTAAAAACTTTTCCATCTGAGCTAGAGTTAGCTAATTAGAACCTTAGAAAAACAATAGCCTGGATGACAGAGCATGGCTTGCACTCCACAGAGGAAGCTCCGGTGCCACTTGACTAAATTACAGCTATTGGTGAATAGTTTGGGTTCTAATAAGCTTCTGGGAGCTGACTGTCCTCATTTGTGCTAGCTGCTAACATAAACCCAGGCAGAGTGAGATGCAAAAACAGTGTACCTGGACCCAGCACTGAAAAGTTTTATTTGTGCCTGCTGATAAACATGCCCAGTTGTGTGCGTAGAGCATTAAGTGCCCCTTTGTTGCCCTTTGAGTAGGGACAGACTAAGGCTCTGATATTTTTGATATAAAAATAAAATTGTAACCCTTTTAGAATCCATTCAGCAGTACTGGGTTGGATGAAATTGTGTCTTTAACTCTGGTACCCTGAGTTTCTTGGGAACTGATAGAAGAAAGCTTTCTCTTCCTCTCTGCCATGTTCTGGAGATTCATTAGAAACAATTCTTACTTGTTCCTGGCTCTCAGCTAGAGGCTGATGTACAGTCACTGAATTGTATCTTTCAGCTGCTGTAAATCCCTGGCATGTGCCCTTTGCTCTGCTGTTCTCTTCTGATGTTTCTTGATGTGGGAGGGTGTGAAGGGAGGGATTCAAGGCCTTGACCAGTGCTCTGTTCTGCATCTCCAGCTACCTCCACTCCTGTGATCCCCCCATCATCCATGGCAACCTGACCTGTGACACCATCTTCATCCAGCACAATGGACTGATCAAAATCGGGTCAGGTAATGCTTGCTGGGGGTGCCCCTGCCTTATCAGACAGACTGCCCAAACAGAGAAAGACATCTAATCCTTTCCAGGTTCCCCGGCACGATAGGCATGTGTGTACATGTGTGTTTCCACCTCCACATCAGATGTGCCAGAGACTGGGAGCAGAATTCACTGGTGGTTGGACCCTTGTCAGGTGCAGGAATACTGATACTGGGTCCTGTTTGCCTTTTAGCCTCTTCTTTAGCTTTTTGTCTCAAGGGGATGACACAGGAAATGATGCTGAAACTTGGAGGTTTTGTAAGCACAACATCTGTGTGTTCATCTGCTCTGCAGAGTTTCATGTTAATACACAGAGTTCTCCTCCCCGCACTGTGGAGCTTTGGGAGCTGCCTGAGGAGTTGTGTCCATGAAGCCACAACTTGTAGCAGCCCACATTTATAATAAAGTGGACAGACTCTGGCTGCAGTGAGTGACTTGTCCAGCATCCCATTATCCCATGGGCCTGTCTTCAGGCTGCTGAGCTGCCCTCAGCCTATTTGGCACACACGTGCCCTGCTGGAGCAGCCAGCCTGTGCCAAAAAGGTTTATTTCCTAAGTAAGCAGTGATGTTCCTGGCAGTGCAGAGCATCCTTGCATGCTTTGATTTTTCCTGCTCTTCCAATGTCTAAAAATCTGTCTGCAGTCAGGATGCATTATTTCACACCTTGACATGACCTTTCAAGGGACAGCTTTGCTACCTGTTGTTCAACTTTGGCAAGTATTCTCGATCTGAGGAATAGGTCTTGCTTTCCTGGAGCTATTGTCTGTGTGAGTTCTGCTCTGATGTGGCAGTGTACAGGGAAGGATGCTCTGCATCACCTGTCATCCAGAATAGCCTCTCCATCAGCTGCAGACCTGTGGCTTTTCTTCCCATCAAAGAATTCCTGTGTTGTTTTGTTCCAGAACTGTGGCAGCAGGTTTGTGCTTGTACCAGGGAGACAGGATCATGGCAGAAGGAGCACTCTGCTTCTGACCTGCCTGTAAACTTGGGGACTCGGTCTTCACAGAAGCTGATGTCATCTTGTCGTCACACAGACTTTATTGTGTTTTCCTGACTTTGTCCAAGTGGGAGAGATTTCCAAGAGTAAATACATCTAGTACCTGTATGCTGGCAAACTCCTTAGCATTCAGTTCAGACTCATGGGAAGACTTGAGTACTCAAGAAATCCCTTTTTTAATTTAGTTTCAAAATCCCATGCAGCTGCCCTCTTTCTGCAGGGCAGCCAGCACTGTCTGTAAAACCAAACCCATGGAGCTGGCATTGCAGCCACGGTTTTCACCACAGGGAGATCCTGCAGGTCCTCAGAGCTGCCATTCCTGGAGCATGCAGCTCCAGGGTGCTGTTCAGAGGCTGTGTAGGAAGATGGCTCTTCACCTGTGGGGTACAAATGGTGGCCTCAGCAGTGTTACACCTTTGCTCCCTTCAGTTTCACAAAGCTTTGCTTCAGTGAGGTGCAGCAGGTGGGACGTGTGTGTGCTCGTGCCAGGAGAAGTGGGTGTCTGTGCTGTTACAGCTCCAGGATGTGCTGGAGTGGGACTGCAGCTGCAGTGCTCATGTGCAGCTATTCCTGAGCAGACCTCTCTGCTCCACAGCTGTGGGCTGCCTGGCCCCCCTCACATTCAGAAGTGAATTTATCTAAAAGATTCTGGTCCTTTCCTAAATAAAAAAAGAAGTGATTGCAAGTGGGCTTGTGGTCAAAAGAGGAATTCTCCAGATGGGAAAGCTGTGACTCCAGTGCAGGCTGGAATTAAAGTTGGCAGTGTTTCAGGATGTTTTCCTCTTCCTGCAATGCCCACCCAATCAGAAAAGGCAAAGCTACATCCCCAGGACTGCTGTTTGTGTTGGAACTTGAGCCTTTCTCCCTGGCACTGCTGCCTTTGCAGTGCCACATGGGCTGGGTTTGAGTTTTGGGCCTGGAACAGTTGCTCCAGGGTCACTAACAATGCCAGGCTCATGTTTGCTGCTTCCAGTCCTTGTTCTGTACAGCTGACTGGTATCTGAGCACTTCCCTGTTTACTTAAAAGCAGCAGGACAGTAATTTCTGTGGATTTATGGGGAACAAGGATTCAGTGCACTACGAGCTGTGCTTTGATGCTGTCTCTGTCCCCAGTACTGTGCTGGATGCTACTCCCAAAGTTCCTCTCCCTGTGGCTTTGGCAAAGAGAATACTTGCTGAATGTGGGGCAAAAGCCTGGCTAAGGCAGCTGCTGGTGTGCACTGCAGGACATCCTGCTGTCTGCTGGGGGAGGGCGTGCCAGGAGAGCAGTGTCATGTTGGAAATGTCTGATGGTGGTTCCTGTGACACATGTTCAGGGGCGGGAAGAGCCCTTTGCTCCTTGCTGCTCCCTCAGAGGCAGGAGCATGTGCACTGGCTGCACTGATCACTGCTTCTCTGTTCAGTATGTAAATCTGTGTGCTGGGGTTCAGCTGCAGAAGAAAAAAGGAGTGGGAAGGAGGAAAGATTTTGCATAATGCTTTAATGCAAAAGCTATCCATAATCCATTCATTTGCTGATGTTTTATTCTCCAGTTCCATAAAGTGCAGAGTTTATAGATTTAAGGAGGATGTTTCAAATGAGTGGAGAGCTTCGGAGAACTTGTGATGGGGATAGGAAAGCCACTTACAGCTCTTAAACTTGCCATGGTATTTCCAGAGGCTGGAATGTTCCACCTGATTTGTAGAGCTGTGGTCGGATGAAAGCATTCCTTGTGACAAGTCCAAGTTGTGCCCTCTGTACTCTTCACAGAGCCCACGTGCAGCACAGTGGTGCCTCCGTGGGTGTCTGTGCTGTCCAGCAAGGGGATTGCTGCCAGGTGTGTTCCTGGGGCTGCAGCTGCTCTGAGTGCAGGAGGAGCAGCGTGTACACACAGAGTGCCTGGTGCTGCTGCCTGCTCGTGTGGCATTGCTGGGAGCTGTTCCTGGAATTCCCACTGGCAGTGTGAGAACCACTCGCAGGTGGAAAGAAGTGATGTGTTTAGATTAGAAACCCTTTTGGGCAGCTCTTGGAGTGCCCCAGCAGAAGGGAGGCCTCAAGCTGGAGTGTCTCAGTGTCCTGTGGTGCTCTTGAGACCATGGCCATGTGTCAGCTGAGTGAGACCTTGATGGAGCAGAGAGGAGGCTCTGTGGAGTGCAGTGCAGATTTCCCCCTTGTGCCTCCAGGCATTGCTGCTGTGTGTCTCTCCTGGCAGCACCACACCTGACCTTAGGCTCTGTCTGTCTTTAGTTGTGTCTGCTCAGAGTCTGCACTCGGTTCCAGGGGCTGGACTCTTATGGGTGTTAGCTCTGCTGTGGCATCACGTGGCCAGGTGTGTAAGTGTGGGCTCTCCTGCTGACATCTGTGGCCAGAAGCTACTGGGATGTAGGGAAAGGGAATTCTCTGCTGAAGGGGTGGGGTGGGTGGGACTGTAGGACACTCACAGCAGAACAGAATTTCCAGCTTCTTGGTCTCAGAGTCAGCCATAATCTTCTGCTTGCTCAGAGATGCCGTGTCTCCCCTGCCTGGTCTGGTTCTCAGGTAGAAGCCCTGATGTTCCTTAGGTAATTCTTTTGAAGAGGTGGCTGGAGGCAGGGCCCAGTGCTCAGTCCTGTCCCTGTGTGCCCTGACTCTGACCCAGCTGTCTCTATGGATGTAAGTGCTTTGCTGTTCACCAACTCATTGACTTTATCTCGTTTTACTTCCCGCTCACGGGCTGCTCTGTTACAACAGTCTTTCATAGGATATTTGCTAATGGTGAGCAAACTTCTCCGCTCCTGTGATGTGATTCCACTTATGTCATGTACATGATTTTATCTCTGTGTGTATCTGTATATATATATATTTATATATATATGTGTGTGTATCTATATTTGTAACACACAAACATACACACTGATGTATTTACAGTGTTCCCTTGCTATAAGGCTGTGTGTAAAACTGTTTGGCGTAGGTGCATCCTGCTTGGAGAGCTCATGTTCTGTGCTGGGATGCAAACAGTTCCTTGTGCTCTTGGCCAGAGCCTTACAGAGAGGGAGCACTGCCCTTTGTGAAGTCTCCTGGTTGTTAGTTTTCTCCCTCTCCATGTTCTTAGCGTGTGCTAATCCACGGGCCCTGTGCATGCCAGCTCCTGCATGTCAACAAGCTGTGCCTTGTTCTGAACTCTTCCCAGCTGAACTTCCCACGTCCATTAGGCTCTTCCCTGCTGCTGCTCTGCTGCCCTTGGCTGGGATTCAGCCCTGGACTAGCCCCCACTGTGTGCTTGGCTATCCAATTGCTTGCTTGTAGTTTGAACTCCTTAGATGTGTTGGTTTTAAGATGAATGTTTCAGTGAATGTGTCTGGCTCCTGATGGCCAGATCCCTCCTGCCCCAAATGAGTCCCTGGATTGAAGTAAGCTTGGCTATTGATGTTTCCCCAGATAAATCTCTGGTTTTGGGGAGTTGGGCTGGTGGGAGCCAGAGAAGGATTTGAGTATTGCAATTTGTAACCCTATTGCATAGAACACCATATTTATATTTAAAATAATTGCTTTTTTTATTTTTTGCCATCAGAGTTATTCTCTATGGTTAGAGTTTGTTTCCACTCAATTGGGAACCTACCAACTGTCAGCTGAAGTGGTGGAAAGGGCAAGGGCCTGACCAGATGGGCTCTGTGCCCTCCAGTTTGGCAGGAGGATGTGCTGTGCCACTCTGCATTGCCAGCAGAGCAGAGGCTCCTAGAAAGCTCAGTCTAGGATCTGCTGTAGCTCAGGGGGACAGTGATGTAGTCAGGGCTGGAGTACTGAGGAGGGCAGGTGTCCCTGGGGGTGGCTGCAGGGTGGCAGAGTGGCAGCGAGTGGACTGGCCCAGGAAGGAGCCCACAGCAGGGGAACCCCACGCTGAGGGCAGCACGGCTGAGGGCTGGCCAGCCTCTCAAGTCACCCCTGTGAGCAGAACCAAAGGCCCTGGTTCTAGAAAGACAGGAGAAGCCTGGAGGAGCACTCTGCAGGCATAAGGAGATGCTGTGGTACCTCACCTGTGCTGAACAGCATCAGATGGCCTTGGAATACTGAGCTTTCCTGACTGTGAACTTGTTCTGACAGTCGGTTGTACCAGCAGGTACTGTGGATATGACAGCTGGGGATGGTTTAAGCCTTTGATCTTGAACAGTGATTTGGGTTTAAAAACACTCAGTCTAGGGTGAAAGGTTCCTGTTTTGCTTGAGCATTGAGCTAATGAGGCTGTGAGTGACATGCTTTCATGACTAATCTTATTTTAGTCATCACTTCACTCCCTTGGATTTTGTTGCCTGAACTTTAAATGTCATGCTGGTTTCCACATTCTTAACAGACACCTGAGGTGATGCAGAAATAAGAGGTTAGTAGGATGTCTTGGATCTGGGGTTTTTTTGTTTTTTTTTTTCAACTATGGCAGGTCTGATTTTAAAAGGAAAATAATGGGTAATTTAAGTCACCAGACAGAAAAATCTGCCATAAAAATGGCATGTTAGCATTGATTTAGGAAAATGTGAATTGGTGTAGTTTAGTTTTTCTAACTGTACAGTTTTATGTTTGAGTCAAGCACATTGTCTACCAAGCCAAACATTTTTGGTTCCTTAGAAACTTGGCAAAATGAAGGCAGATATTTCATATGGTTTGTCTGTGACTACAGGTGCTGCTGGGAATGAAATTGGGCAAGGAAATAGTTTTGAGTGAAACTTTTTGTCTAGAAGAAAGTTCAAGATTGGATCCAGTCTACATTTTGGGGGGGGCTGGTTTTTCTTTTAAAGGTTTGACTGCCATGGGTCTGTGTTGTCTGTGAAACTCTTGGTGTAAAAGCCTGTCTCCAAGTGAAGGCACTTCTCATTTGGGTTGTTCTTGAGAAACTGATGAACAAGCTGGGTTGAGTAGCATGAGGTTGATTTTAATGTGAAGGTTACAATGATGTAATTGTAGTGCTGTAGCTGCTGCTGTGATTGATTACTAGAGTGGCAGAAACAGTTCCAGAGACGTATCCTGGGATTTTGTGTAGGCACAGAGTTAAAGCAGGAGGAGCAGCCATTGGTGAGTGACAGTCCATGGTTTCTGTCTGTGTTGGAATTCCAGCTGCCTCCTGCTGACCACGTGTCTGGGGAGGGTGGTGGGATTTTTAAGGTCCAATTTAGTGGGAAGAACTGGTGACCTTGGTGGCCTTGTGGCAAAGATTTTCCTCCTTCTATGCTGTGATAGTACTAAACTTATTTTTATTTTGTAGAAGGTTTAAAAGCCAGCTCTTGCTCCTAGCAGTTATTTCTCTAGGTCAGAGTACCCTCTGTGTGTGCTGCTGTGATTGATCTCATTCATGAAAACACCAGGAAACTATGGTCATCTAGTTTGGTTGTTGTTTTCAGTTAAGTAAGATATTTTAAAATGTTTAAATATCTCTGTTTAGTGCTCCAGGTTATGGAACATCAATTTTCTGAGGTGATTGTTATTTCTGTGTTGCACATTGAGGGCATTGCTGCTTCAGTTTTGTTCAGCTCTTGTTGTGACGCGGCAGGCTCTGTTTTCTCTCTGCTTTTATGTGACTTTCCCAGTGGGCATGGGAATGTGAATTATAGTCATCCAGGTCTTCATTCACCCATTCTCATATTAGCACAGCAGTTGTGGGTGTCTCTTCCTTTCAGGGCCCTTTGGTTGAAGGCTTTGTGAACCTCAGCAGTTTAGGAAGCTCCTTCGTGCCAGTTCTGAAAAGATCACTTAAACACCAACAAGCAAGGGCAGCCTGTTGTGGCTGCCTGTGCCTGAGCAGGAGTGAGCTGTCTTCTCAAGAGGTCCCTCCCAGCCCAGACAGGTTTGTGGTTTAGGCCTGGAGCTGTGTAGGCCAAGCGGTGTTCTCACTCTGGCACCTGCTTCCAAGGGTGAACTTTGCTGTAGGTTAAATCTCCCAAGGTCCCTTTGGCACCTTGTGGAACAATGATAATCAAAGATGTGGAGTTTGAAATCTGGGAAAGTTGTACTTGAAATTCTTGATATTGTGGGCCCTAATTGCTTTTTTGAATGTACATAAATGGGTTCAGTCCCTGCTTCTGTTAAGCAGAGCTGCTCACAACAGAAGATCATCTTCATGGTTGTGTTTCTGAGGACTTGCTTTGTAGTGCACGTCTGTCTTCTGGGAGCAGATGGTTCCTTCAGAGAGCTCATTCTGTAGCACTTCAGTGAATGTCTGCTCTTGTTTTTTCTGATTGCCTGTAATTCTTGCACTGTGATGTGAACACATATATCTTTTTCATAGCAATATTGCATTGGTATATCCCAAGCAGGGGTTTGCATGGTCAGTGAAGCCTTCATTCATCTGGTCTAGAATGTGGAACTTGGTTTTGGGTGCAGATTGCATATCTCCCAACACAATTAGTTAGTTGTTTGTGCCATGAATTCTTCCAGATGAAGTGCCAATAAGCTCCTACGTCACTGTTTAGGAGCGTGGATTGACAGGTACTAATCTTACAGCACTTTTTTATCTGTTCTTGTTTTTCCTGCTCTGTCTACTTCTATTTTCTGCTTCCATGTAATGGATGTGGTCAAACACGTCAACTTAGAACTCTTAAGCAATCTTTTAAGTGTAAAAATACCACCTGCTGCTTCATGAGAAATGTGGCACAGTGTGATCATGTCCCTCTCTGGCTCACTGACAGGAGTGTGTGCCCTGGCCCCAGAAGTAGCTGATGATGCCCTGGGCTGTATTAGGCAAAACTCTGCCAGAGCAGGGAGTGGAAGGTCCTGGCCCTCTGCTCAGTGCAGCCGCCCTGTAGATGCAGGCCCAGCACTGTCCCCCCAGGACACGAGGGACAGGGACAAGCTGGGGACAGCCCGCCAAGCAGCCTGCGGTGCTGCAGGGCTGCAGCGTCTCTGCCGGGGTAAGGCTGAGGGAGCTGCAGCTGCTGAGCCCAGAGCAGAGCGGGCCCGGGGATCGCTGGTGTGACACCTGCAGGGAGGGCTCTGCGGGTGAGCTCAGCGTGGGTGAGCCTGGCCTGGGTGAGTCCCAGGTGAGCCCGGCCCGGGTGAGCCCGGCCCGGGTGAGCCCGGCCCGGGTGAGCCCGGCCCGGGTGAGCCCGGCCNGGTGAGCCCGGCCCGGGTGAGCCCGGCCCGGGTGAGCCCGGCCCGGGTGAGCCCGGCCCGGGTGAGCCCGGCCTGGGTGAGCCCGGCCCGGGTGAGCCCGGCCCAGGTGAGCCCCGGGTGAGCCCAGCCCGGGTGAGCCCAGCGCTCCCGGGGCGCCCGGGGACAGGAGTGGAGGCCACGGCAAGGCTGGACCCCGGATGGTCCCTCTGGACCCCGGATGGTCCCTCTGGACCCCAGGCATTGTCATTGTGGTAGTAGCACAAGCACAGGTTGCCCAAGGCACTGATAGAGTCTCCATTCTTGAAGTCACCCAAAAGCCATCTACATATGGTCCTGGGCAACCAGCTCTGGGTGTCCTTGCTTGGGACAGGGGTGTTGGACAAAGTGACCTCTGCAGGCCTCTTCCTACAAGAGCCATGCCATGATTTTGATTCTGTGTTAATTTCTTTGGAGAGTAGCCTTCTCCAGTTTTTGTGTGACATTAACTCTCTATTGCCAGTACCACTGATTCTGTTCCAGCAGTGTTTTCTCAGGAGGGAACCATGGGCAGTGTTTTAGAAGAGGTTGGTTTCCTGCTCGGAAGCAGAAAAGTGTGTATGTGTGTATATGTGTGTAAGCACATCAGGAGCTTTACCTGCACTGGGAACAGTGTAGTGAACTTTCCATACACTGAATCTATTTGCTCCTTCAGCTAATTATACTCAAGTGCCAAAAGGAATAAAAATCCTGTTGCTTCTGATGTCTCAGTGTTGCAAACATTCTGCAAATGCTATTTGCAATCCCTGATACAGATCTGGGGGCTGTAGGAAGCTTTTATTCTGTGATCAGCATAAGTATGACACTTCTTCCTGTTTGACTCCTTGCTTAATGGCTGTATGCTTCTTTTTATGCCAAATAACTTCCTAGTTCCTTATTTTCTAGGCCTTGCACTCCCTAATAAAAAAGCTTTTGTCATGACTGTGTGCAGAGAAAGGAAACTGTAACATTGTGGGTTTGTGCAGCCTTGTACCCTTTTGCAGGAGTGAAAGCGTCTGGGGCATATGAGTGCAGGGGATAACAATGTAGCCTCATACCTCTCCTGCCCTGTGGTCACCCCTTCATAGCTGCAGAGGGTGGTCTTGGGTTCAGTTGATAATTTTTAGGTCCCTGGTGGTGCGGTCCCATTGCTGGGTTGCACAGCAAGCCTGGGACAATCTTAGAGATGAGTTGTTGATCCTTTCACTGACACCTGGTTTCCCCCTGCTTTCTGTTAGCCAGGGCACTGGGCCCTTTGCTGAGGAGGGAGTCGTGTTCTGCTTTGCAGCACACAAGAACCCAAACAGCTCAGTGGCTGCTGCAGGAGGCAAGGCAGGGCAGTAGAACAGGGCCTGGGGAGGACTGTGGCACAGGAGATCTTTGTTTCCTGCAAGGAGGAAGTTCTGAGTGCAGAATAAAGGCACCCGTGAGATGGACATTGCACAAGAGGGAAGTGTCCTCTGCAGCAGGGAGTGTTCCAGAGCAGGGGCAGGATGCCCAGGCAGCTCTGCTAAACCTGCTGTGGGGACAGCTAGGAAGGAATGCCACCATTGCCTCCTTGGCTGGCACTGCTAACACCCAGTGGGCACACAAGCTGTCCACTTACTCTGGCCAACTCTTTTTGCATGTTCTTGAGGGTTTGAGAAGTGGAACTGGCTACAGCATGTTCCTGTAGGAATGCCCATTATCTCTTTTTAAGGTTTTGTTGTCAGATTGAGTTCAATTTGTCAAAGACAGGTTGCTTGCCCTACCTTCTGCTGTGCTTCACATTTCTTCCTACCACCTGTCCTGCTCAGACACTGTATTTGGTTGAACCTTTTTCTAAAATTCATCTCTGCTAATTGCCCACCAGAATTTTCAATTCCCATGGGGCTGTCTTGTAATCTGCCCCTTGTAGTCACTTTCTTGTGGCTGAGAAAGACACATTCGTTGTTATTATTGGTGATCTGACTTTCCTTTGTGGTTCTCATAATTTGTCACACTTAGTAGCCATTCTCATCCTTCATCCATCCAATCATGCACAGCATGGAGCCAGTTTGAGAATACAGAAATAGGTGTAGAAGTGACAGCTAGCAGCCATGTGTGAGCGAGGCAGGACAGCATGAGTCAGAGGTAACTTCAGGTGTGTGTTCTTACCTGGTACAATCAGGAGGTTGGTTTAAAATGTAGGCTCAGGTGAAGCTCCCAAACCCCTGCCATTGCTAAGTGGCCCATACATCAAGATGACCTGCATCAGTGACCAGACCAAACCCAAAGTTTATTGTCTTCGGGTTGTCTTCATCTAAAACCCTGTCACAGTTGTAACAGCTGCTGTGTTGAACACACCTGCAGGAAATTTTTCAGAGCTGACCTCAGAAGCAAGTCATGCTGTCAGTGCTTAGAGCAGAACTGTGTCTGGCAGGGCTGTCCCTGCTTAGCTCTGAGACACACAGGAGGTTCTGGGCGTCTGATGTCTTTGACCTTGTGCTACCTCAGCTCTGCAATAAGAGAGTGAGGTGACACCTGTCACTTCAGCCAAGCTGCACATGAGCTGGGATATCAATGGCTGGAACTGGAAGATTCCTTGACAAGTGTGGCTGATCAAACCCAGCTCCAGAGCCAATCTCTGCAACAGTGATGGAAAAACACTCCAGTGGGACTCGGCACGTTAGGAAGCCCAAAGACCAAAGTACCAGAGGGAACAGGTCCCTCGCTGACCCACAGAATCAAAGTCAGAGCTGCCTGTGTCAGTTCTGTGTGTGTGAGTTGAAGGGTCCCACGGACAGTGCGAGCCTGGTTCTTTCCAGAAATGCTGGTGCTGCTGCAGAAGGTCTGTAGGACCTGGATGCAGAGGAGCTGATTATCAAAGCTGGCTGGACCTCATTAAGGACACTATGGAGGCTGGGCTGGACTTTGACTCTACCTGCCTGTTTGGTGTGGAAGTGCATCAGCCGTCACTGCTGAGGTTTCTGTTGATAATCTGTTCTGTGACTGCCTCATCCCTGTCCTTAAAGGGGCACAGGAGCCAAGAACAGAGTGCCTGCACAGTGAACTGGCCCTTGCCATCCAACACGTGCTCATAACAGGATTTAAAGACACTGGAAAATGAAGCTGGTCACAACATTGTGTGGAGGGTAACTTTCCTTGGCTGATTCTGCTCCGTATTTGGCAGGACTGGGTTGTCGAGTTTTTGGTCCCCGTTTCCTTTTACAATGCATTTTTCTGATAAGGAAGGCAGAACAAATAGAAGAGTTCAAAAATAATTTATTTCTCTCTCCACATTGTCTGCTTTGCCACTGGGAGTCCCTCTGGCATGCCTGCAGTAGCTGCAGGTGTAAAAGGTGTCAAACATCTGTATGATAGTTTCTGTTGGGCTCTGCATTGGGTACAGAGTCATCCAGGATCCTATAAATAACAATATAAATCTGATGTTGGAAGAGAAGGGTTTCTGAAGCCTAAAATACTCTCTTTAGAAAGCCTGACATGAGAACCCAGTGTGCTGGACAAGCCATGAGTGCTTTACTTATGTGCCAAGTCTGGCACTGGCTGGATGTATGGTGACAGGGTTGGGGCTGACGGGTGAACTCCAGCAGCACAGGAACACATCCAGTCCAGTTCAGAGGACTGGGCAAACTCCGGTTGTAACTGACTGAGGAGTAAAAAATACTAAGGTGAACAGAAGTCCAGAACTCATCACTTGGGTGCTGATGAGGATCTGGCATTTTCTGGTTCCTCAAGGGATGCTTTGAGCTCCTTGTCATGTGGGGGGGTGTTGAGTTCCTTTTGGGGCAGAGTCTCCAGCAGAGAGAACTGATGTGATGGTGCACAGCCCTGGCCAGAACTTGTCTGAAGCAGTCAGTGTCACTGGGAAAACAGAACTGGTCTTGGAGAAAAACAAAGAATGTAGCTTATGCTGCTTGGCGGTGTGAAGGTGAGAGGATCTGGAGATGTCTGGGAACAGGTGAGCACTAGGAATGAAGTCATCTTGCTGGACTCCTAGGATCAGAGCTAACACAGGGAACAGAAAGCAGTTATTTGTGAATGGTTGGTTGGGAAAGAAGCCCCTAGCTATTGCAGCAAGCTCTGCTTCCAGCGCTCAGATTGGGTAATATGATTTGGTATGTGCCATGCAGCAAGGCTCAGCTGAGTTACCAAGACAGGTCCTTCTTGTCTGACTGGATCCCAGAGAATATCTCCTCTCTGAAACTGGTAACTAGTTACTCAGCTAGGAATCCTCCTCAGTGTGGAAAAATGCAAGTGGTTTGGCACGTCCCAGCCCACATTGTGCCAGTACAGACAGGGACTGATTGTGATTGTCCAGGAGGGTGAGCAGGTGGGACATGGGCCTGGGACTCTGGGACTGGACACATTCCAGTGTGACAGTAGAGCTTTAAATGGGTGATGGCTCTGTGCTCCCTGCTCACCTCGGTGTTTCTCCCTGGCAGACAGCTGCTTCATTTCAGAGAGTTGTTCGCAGTCTCTGCAGAGGTGGCTGTCCCAAAAGCTTATCTTTCATGGGGGTCCATACTTATGCTCTGCTCATTGTTCTTGTGTCTGCAAGTTTATTTCCTCCCCACAGCTATGAGTGGTTTGTGGAGGTGCTGGCTGCTGGGAGGTTCTGCTGTCTGGGTGGTCACCTCCCTTCCCTCAGCAGCTTGGCTTGATTCTTGTCTGGAGGTGCTTTGGCACCAGCATCCTCCTAAAATGTGGAAGAGTTGCCTGGTAGGTCCATCTTCCCAGAACTCAGGTGGTGACCAATTGCAGTGACCTTGGCACCTCTGGCTGTTCCTCAGGCTGCTATTCTGAATGAGTTGCTTGTGACAAATGCTGTAGATCTGTTTGAAGTTAGGCATTTCAGCTGAGAGCTGTTCCCACCTTGTCCCCCCACAGGCAGCAGTTGTGGTCTCCAGGTTTGCCCTTGGAGAGTGATGCTAAGCTGCCAAGGAAGCAATGCAGGAATGTATTGGGTCAGGGCAGGTGACAAGAGATGAAGGCTGTGAAGACTCACCTTAACACCACCATTCTGCCCCTTTGGGCTCCAAGGGCCTGGATTTGCAGGTGTTCCCTGGGATCTCATCAGGGATGGGATGTGGTTTCCTGTATCCCAAGCATTCCTGGTTTTCTTCTAGTGGCACCGGACACAATTAACAACCACGTGAAGACCTGTCGTGAGGAGCAGAAGAACCTGCACTTCTTTGCCCCGGAATATGGAGGTATGGTGTAGCTGTGGCTGCAAGCTTGGGGATTTTTTGGGATAACTCCAAGCTGTTCTGCACCTTGTTCTCAGTTCCAGGCTCCTGGCAGATGCCACATTAACAGTTCTGAGCCATTTGCCTGCTGAAATGCTTCAGCTCTTCTGTTCTTTGGTAGCAGAGGAGGGAGAAGCTGCAGGACTGTCCCTGAATGCAGAATGCTGCTGCTGCATTCAGAACTGACTGATAACAATTCCATTTCTGTTTTACAGAAGTTGCCAATGTCACCACTGCTGTGGACATCTACTCCTTTGGGATGTGTGCACTGGAGGTAAGTGTCAAACATGGACTGTGGGACAGAGATTATGAATCTGATGAAACAGAGAGCTCTGGAAGGGCTGTGGCCATGGGTGGGTTTGCTCGGTGACAAGTATGTTTTGTTCTCAGAGCCAAGTGCACTTTGCCTTGGAGGTATCCCTATGGAGGCTCTCTCAAGTGCCTCACTAAGAAGTGAATGGCTCAGAGATTTTCAGTTCTTCCCAAAATTCCTATTTGGTAATGAATTACTTAGCAGGTCTTGGCCAGTCCTGAATTCAGACTCACTGGTTGGAGGGAATAGTCACTGCTGCAGACTGTATGTAATGTCCATCTATGTGACCAGTGCCTGGGGTGTTTGGAGCAGAGGACAGCTGCAGTCTGTCCCTTTGTCTGGGAGAACCTGTGCCCATCTGATAGAGGTGCTGGTTGCAGTTGATGGGAGGCTGCCATACTGGTTGTAGCAACTTTGTGCTTCCTCTGTCCTTGCAGTAGGTCCAAGTCCAGGTAATGGAAGCTGTTGTTAGGAGGATTTTCTGAAAATTGTCAGAAAGAGCCAGTACAAGGAACCGTCAACCTGCGCTGCACATTCCATTAATGAAGCAGGAAGAGAATTGTGGAAAGATACAACTTTTAGGAAACAAAACTTAAGCTGAATGCAGAGACATTCTCTGCAATATTTTCCAGCCTTTCCTAGCTGGGAATTAGTGTCTGTGTAGTTGTCTGGAGACCATTCTTGATGTGTTGTATGCTTGCTCTTGTTCTGTGATGCAGAGCTATTCAGACAGCCAGAAGGGACACTGTCAGATCCTGGCAGTGATCCAGTCACTGTTTCATTATGGAATTGTCAAACAGAATAACAGGCCAGTGGATCATGAGGTTCAAAATGGAGACACTTACTGTCCAGGTTGTTGCTGGCAGAGTTCCCAGGGCTCCCTGGCAGTCTTGGGGTATTAGGAGCAAGCTGTTGTAATGAGGCAGCCATTCTCTCTGCCTCTCCAAATGTGACCTTAAGTACCCCCAAACAGCTTGGCCATGGTGATCTCATGCTTGGCAGTGGTCTCCTTGAACCTGTCTCCCATGCAGTCTGTCACTCCCAGTGGAGTCTGATGCTCTGCTCTGTGTTTGCAGATGGCAGTGCTGGAGATCCAGGGGAATGGGGAGTCATCCTACGTGCCGCAGGAGGCCATCAACAGTGCCATCCAGCTGCTGGAGGACCCCCTGCAGCGGGTAAGCCACGGGGCGTGGTGCCCTGAACTGCTCTGCTGCTGCTGCTTGTTGTCTCATGCAGGTTTTTTCTCTAGGAGTTCATTCAGAAGTGTCTAGAGCAGGACCCTGGCAGGCGCCCGACAGCCCGGGAGTTGCTGTTCCATCCGGCGCTGTTTGAGGTGCCATCGCTGAAGCTGTTGGCTGCTCACTGCATCGTTGGGCACCAGCGTGAGTACAAAGCCCTGGGAGCCACGTCCCCACGTGGGTCAGTGCTCTGCAGAGCTTTGCTGAGCTGTCAGTGCTCACCCCAGTGAGCTGGCACCCTGGGAACTGCCCTCCCCATGCCCTGCTGCTCTGCAGGTTCCTGGCTATTGGACATAGCTGTGGGGCTGGGAGGGCTGTGGTGTCTGATCTGCTCTGAGTGCATCAGAGAGCATAAGACCTCTGCACTTTTCTTTGCTTTTCTAGGGCTGGAGAGGAACTGCAATTGCTCCAAGTTACTCCTCTTTTTTTTAATAGATATGATTCCTGAAAATGCTTTAGAAGAAATGACCAAAAACCTTGACATGAATGCAGTGTTGGCAGAGATCAATCACGAGGACAGGGAAGGAGTCAAGATGATGTGAGTCCCCATGGTGTGCTCAGGGGAGCATTGTTGGGCACTGGTGTGAGCACTGGGACTCTGCCCAGCACCTCAGTGTTAGTGTTTCCCCAGTGACTGGGTGCCAGTGGGAGCTGGTGGAGCTGGAGGTGAAGGAGCAGTCACTGTCTGGGCACACACACTTCTGGGGAGGGTTATTCCTGCATGGAAGGAGACCTTGCACCTGTTTCCAGGGAGTAGATTCTGTGCAGCTGAGATGAATTGTTCCCCAAATGGACGGACGAAATGAACATGCTGTAGTTGGAGCAGTCCCCAGCAAAATATGGCTTAATAGTTTGGGAAGCTGCTCTGACCAATCACAGATGAGCCAGAGGGAGCCACTTGCTCACTTCACAGAAGGGGTTCCTCAGTGTTCTTCTAATGGAGCATCCTATTCCACACTATGCACAGGGAAAGGCAGTTGTGTCAGTGACACACAACACTACTTACACTGTAGGGAGTTACCTAAGGGAATGCCTGTAATATATATGGGGCAAGCAGAGTGCCAAAAAAGTGATATACATTTTGGATAACAAAGCTTTGGCTAGTCAAGGGATTAGCTGAAGACTAGGATGTGAATACTGTATTCCCAGAGAAGCCCAGGGTGCTTCCAGGGGAGCCCAGAGTTCTGGGATGCCCAGGCTGCTGAACAAGAGTGACCAAGATGACAAGAAAGAACAGCTCTGTCCGTATAAGCAGCTCTCGGAGCCATAGGGACCCTTCCAAAAGCTCACATTCCAGTTGTTATAGTGCTAGGAAATATAGTATGAAATTAATTTTGGAATGTTTTTGATACAGTTTCAAAATGGAGGATAAGTGAACAAGCAAAGCTGTACAAGAGAGATCCTTACATGCGTGGGATGTCAGTCTCTGCAGGCGTGGCTGTCCATGGGTGCCAGCCTGGAACTGGCTTTTTGCTAGTGCCATACCTCAGAGGTGCTGGAAAAGGAAAAGAAAGCAGCAATCACTTGAAATGTCAGGATCATTTCTGGATGGTTCATCAGACTGCCATGCAAACCAAGCTGCTAGGAAAAAACCTATAAATTTTTGTTGAAAACTACTGCTGTGTTAAGAGGATGGGATGATCCCAGCTGCTGGGGATGTGGAAGGGGCTGGAGAGTGGTCTGGGAGCTGAGGTAGGGTGTGCAGCCCATAAAGCTGAGGGCTTTGAGGACATCCTGTCAGGCTTCCAGTAGTTTTGCAGTCCTTACCTCATCTCTGGAATGCCTCAGAGCAGCCTTGAGAGAGGGGTTTGGCTTTTCTAAGTGTTTGTTGCAACCAGGGACCTGGTATGGCAGGTGTTTGTGAAACAGCTCACCAGGAACAGTGTCACTGGGCCACCCTCCAAATAACTGCATTGCACAGTTCTTAGGGATGTGAGACTGGCTCTGCCATAACTGCTGCCTCATCCTTAGCTCCTGTAGGTAGTTATGTCCTTAAGGGAAGGTAAGAGCTTGTTGCACCAGCCCAGGACATGGGGATTTAAAACTACACCTCAGGAGACTTGAGTGGATGGTACTGTGAGATGATTTCTCATCTCAGGACATTTTTTTTCCAGCTTCTCTCAATCTCCAGCCCTGGAGCTGGACAAGTTCCTGGAGGATGTGAGGTAAGAGGCATTTTTTTAAGACACCTTCCACTGTGTGTGAGACTGGAAAAATTTTGGAGAGTTATAACCTCAGATGCTGCTCCTTGTAGGAATGGAATCTATCCCCTCACAGCTTTTGGGATGCCACGACCCCAGCAGCCCCAGCAGGTTGTGGTGAAATCTCCCATTGCTCCCCCATCAGTGAAAACCCCAACTCCAGAGCCCGCTGAGGTGGAGACCCGCAAGGTAAAGGCAGGGGCTCAGCCTCGCTCTCCCATGGCCAGGCAGGGCTGAGGGGCAGCTGCTGATGGGCCCTGTGCCTCTGTTCCAGGTGGTGCTGATGCAGTGCAACATCGAGTCCGTGGAGGAGGGGGTGAAGCACCACGTATGTTTTATGTCTGGCCGAGAAGGGGGAGGCCGAGCTGTGCAGGGCTCATGGCTCTGAGGTGCTGCTGGTGCCTGGGGTAACCCTGCACTGCTGCAGCTGCCACCATCAGGACCCAGAGCCTGACCCAGGCCTGTTCCTGCTGCTGACCTGGCACCTGGGCCCACCCCCAGGTCCAGACTTCCAGCGCAGGATGGTGCTGCCAGCTGCACCATCCAGCATGGAACTGGCTGTGGCTATTCTGTTAGATCCCCATGGGGCTCTGGAGGTGTGGTTCCCATCTCAGGGGGCATTTTTAGGGTTGCTTTGGGCTTGCCATGGCAGTCTGCAGGACTGCAATCCCTCATGAGAATTTCTTTGCCCTGCAGCTGACACTGCTGCTGAAACTGGAAGACAAGTTGAATCGACACTTGAGCTGTGACCTTCAGCCCAGTAAGTACCCCCTTCTGCCCCTGCCGAGGGTCACCACGCTGGGACCAAGGACTGACACCTTTCCTTGTGTTGCAGATGATAACATACAGGAGCTGGCAGCTGAACTGGTCCAGCTTGGATTTATCAGTGAGGTAAGCAGGGGCTCAGGTAGGGCTATGGGCCTGTGTTACTTCCTCAGCATTCAATGGTTTATGCCCTTTTTGGGGTGATGAGGCAGGAGGAATAAGCCAGGTCCCTGCCCTGGCAGTCTCCAGCCATGCTCTCAGCTTTCAGTGGATGGGGTTTACGCCTTACTGTCCTTGTTCTTGCCAGGCTGACCAGAGCAGACTCACGTGTTTACTTGAAGAGGCATTTAGCAAGTTCTACTACACTCGGAACGGAGCCCTGACGGCCGTAACTGTGTCATCTTAGCTCCGTGGCTCCTGGGCAGCCAGTGTGGCCTCGCTGCCTGCGGCCCATCTGTGTCTGCCCACTGCTGTCGGGCATCCGCAAGACCCCAGCTGCAGTGCTTGGAAGCTCATCCTGCATGTGCCGTGGCTGGGCTCATCGACAGTCCTCCCTGCCCGCCTCCTAAAGAGGACTTTGCGCATCAGTATTATTTCCAGCCCTGTTTTTGTTGGGATTTGCCAGGTTGTGCTGCGGAGCTGAGGCCTGGCTTGGGGCATTCTGCAGCCCCACTCATGTGCATGGAGTTTGTTCTGTTTGAATTGTACAAAGTGTCTTTTGCACAGCACAGAAATGGGTTTTTTTTTCTTTTTTTTTTTTTTTTTTTTTTTTTTTTTTTTAAAGGTAAGCAGGGGTGGGCCCCTAAGCCCTGCACCCCCGGTCACTCCCCCCTTTCCCGCGCCACGAGCCCAGGGGTTCGTCCCCTCTCCCCGCCCGGCGCTTTGCTCCTGCCGCCGGCTGCACTTTGTTTACTGGTTCGCACCCGCCGGGGCCACGGCGTGTGCTGGCCCCGGGCTGCGGCCCCGTGGCCCTGCAGCCCCCGGCCCTTACCGGGGACTCCCGGGGCCCTGCGTCGTCCTGGGGCCGAGCCGCGGCTCCTGCATCTCATTTCTATCATTTCCTATTTTTAATAAACTGTTTTGTAAAGACGCGAGTGCCGCCTCTTGCAGGGCGGGGCGGGACGGGGGGGCCGGGCCGAGCGGCCCGTCCCTGCCCCGGGGCGGAACCGGCGGCGGCGGCGGCGGCCATGGCCGGGGGGCGGCGGGGAGCCGGAGTGCTGGCGGAGCCGCGGCGGCTGATGCGCTCGGGGCTGGGGCTGATCGTGCTGGGCCACGGCAGCCTCGTGCTGGGCGCCATCGTGCACGGCTCGGTGCTGCGGCACGTAGCCGGCGCCCGCCGCGCCGTCACCCCCGAGTACGCGGCGGCCAACGTGGTGTCGGTGTGCTCGGGGCTGCTGGTGAGCGCGGCCGGGCCGGGCGGGGGCCGGCGGGCCCTGCCCTGGCCGGGCCCTGCCCTGGCCGGGCCCTGCTGAGCGCAACTCTCCCCGCAGAGCATCGCCGTGGGCATCGTGGCCATCCTGGTGTCGCACAACCTGTCCCGGGCGGTCCTGGTGAGTGCGGGGCTGCGGCCGAGCAGGCGGGGGGCCTCGGCGCGGCCCTGTCCCGCCGGCAGCCGCTCCCCTGGACCTTGGCCCCGCGGGCTCCTTCCGCCTCGGCGGCGGCTGCCGGTGTCTCCTGTCCCCGGCTCGGCCCCGGCGGCCGCTCCGGGAGGATGGGAGCGCCGTGCTCGGGCAGAAGCGCTTCGGTGGGCGAATCTGCAGCCGGGTCGGGGGTCCCGCGTGGGCTCGCAGGGTGGGCGGACACGGGGCAGGGTGCGCTGGGCTGGACTGCGGCTCCCGCGGAGCCTGCTCTCCACGGAGCCAGAGAGAAGGGGCGTCCAGCGGTGCCGAGCTCACAGGGGGTGGAAGGATGCCAAAGGTGCGAGAGCCTCATCCGAGGGCACGGCTGAACCGCCCTGGAAGAGGCAAGAGATCGTGTGTGCTCCCTCGGGAGCAGTTCTGCAGAGGCACGGGTGCCCGGCCTGAGCGTTTCCCCGGGCTCGTGCCAGTCCCACTCGTATTCTTGCCGCCTGCAGCACTGGACCTTGCTGGGCGTCTCTGTGCTGAATTGCCTCCTGTCCACGGCGTGCAGCGTGGGGCTGACGCTGGCCATCGCCCTCACGGTGCACAGCCGGGGTACGCACCTGGTCTGGGGCTGCAACAGCTCCGCGCTGCCCGTAGACGCTCGTGCAGCTATTGCCACCAACGACTGTCCCTTCAACACCACGCGCATCTACGTGAGTCTGCGGCGTCACTGCACACCCCCACTCCTCCCATCACCCTCTTTCTCCCTCTGCTTTCTCTCATCTTTCTTTTCGCTCTGACTCTCCCTCCTGCTTCCCTTCTCTCCATCTCCCCCTTCTTTCTCCTGCTGTCCACATAGTCTCTGCTGAGTGTGTTCAGCCAGCCTGGTGCAGTGCCCACGTTCTTGTGACCCCTGCTTCGCAGGACACAGCCCTGGCCCTCTGGTTCCCCTCCCTGCTGCTGGCAGCTGCAGAAGCCGTGCTCTCGGGCAGGTGCTGTTTGGTGGCTCTCGTCTTCCAGGGCATCGGGCCCTGTGCACACAGCTATGGCAAGGAGCAGGTACGCCCCGCTGAGCTGGACAGATCTCCCCCATGATTCCTGTCTTTGTGCTGCATTTGTAGGGTGCTGGGTTCTGCTGGGAACAAGGAGGCAGCAGTAGGGGGGGATGCAGAGTTGGAACCTCTTCTAGCCAGCCTAAGTGCCAGACCAGCACCCCTTCATGGGGAGTTGCAGAGGGACCCTTTCTTCATCCTCCTGGTAGCCAGGCCTGTTCTTTTTTTGTGAGAACACTGCCCAACACATGTCCTTGCCACCCTACACTTTTTTTTTTTTCCTCTCTAGTTGGCCAGGCCAAGTACAGCAATGGAGAAGCCACTCCGTGAGAGGCAGCAGCTCCTGGCAGGACTTGCTGAGTCTCCTGCGTAGCTGGAGAGGCGAGTGCACCATGTGGACCGTGCCTGGGATGGGGGGAGCAGGCTCTGCCATCAAGAGGGCCCATGTCAACACCAGCCCCCAAAAACATCTCTTCCTAGGGACATGGTCAGATGAGTCAGTGATGCTGGGCCCTGCAGCACAGCCTGGCACTGACACTGCTCCATCACTCCCAGGTGGTGCTCCAGGAGTGCTGTGATCCAGCAGGGTCGGGGGCAAGGTGATGTCATACCTCCTGCAGTGGGCTGATGCAGTGAGGATGTGCCTTGCCCCCTCCCCCCAGCTCCACCCCCCTACCTGGGACAGACCCTGCAGGTGCTATGAGCCCCAGATGCTCTCCCATCCTCTCCCCAAGCTGCCAGGCCCTTCCTGGTGTGCTGAAGGCTCTGTTGGTTTCTGTCAGCAGTGATGGGGGTGGGCAGAGGTTCTGGGGCCCAAGTCCTGGTGCCATTGCAGGCAGGGCAGCTGGTTGTGCCTGTGCTCGAACATGGCAGGGAACAGAAGAGGTAGAGTCTCTTTGGTGTGGATCTCTAGTTTTCTTGAATAAATAAACCTTTCCATATTGGCTGTTCTGAGTGGTTCTGCCAGGTGAGTGCTGGTTGTGAGCAAGGTGTGGCAAGAGAAGGAAAGTACAGCTGCTCTGTGAGCCCATCCCTGTGCCTGCCACTCCTCAAGCACAGGGATGTTGACAGAGCTGTGGCCTCAGTGTGGAAGTCATCCACAGACGTGGGGGTTGAGACACATGTACAGGGGTTGCAGCCCTGTGCCCCGCAGCTGCAGTGTTCTGGGCCCAGCATCCCCTGGCAAACAGGAGCACTGCAGGGCTGAAATAACATATTTATTGGATGTGGAAGGTGCAGAGGAACAGGCCCAAAAGCTGCCACAGTCCTGCTTACTGGAATGAGAAGCTGGTGCTTGGGAGTCCCCCACACCACCGTCGGAGGAACTCGATCACATCCTGGCCCGCAGGGCTGTGGGATGTCTGCAGAAATAGAGAGACCTTGGCACTGGAAAGGGCACCCCCGTGCCCCCTGCCTGAAGACACCTCATGGGCTGGCAGGAGTGGGTCTGGTAATCCTCACCAAGCAGCACTGCTAGGAGAGTGCAGTAAACTGCCCTGGGACAATGACTGACCCAGAAGGATGCTGCATTGTCAGCAGGAGGGGCTGAACCCCACCCACAGCCTGTCTCCCTGCCTGTGGGTTCTGGCTCACCTTGACAGCCATCACAAATTTGTACCACACATCCTTCTTCACTTCTCGGCCTGGCCTCAACTCAATCTTGTTTCCTAGCACTGGGTACCCTGGGCACAAAGAGACACATTCAGAACAAGCTGAGCCCCACAGCAGGCCCCTGGGTGCACCCCTTCCCTGTGCTGCAGCTGGGGCTGCCCCAACAGCACAGTGAGTTGGGGAGAATAATGCTGCCTTGGTCTCCAGGAGATCAAGATGAAGAAGGGGTGTTCAAAGTGGGGGATCAAATTAAAGTCCAACAATGGCAGCCAGCTTCTGATTTTCAGACCCACAGCCCCGTTGTTCCTGGTGGCCCACTCCTGCTCCTTCTCTGACCCTTTTAAGTCCTGCACTGCAGAGCAGGGCCAGGTGCTGCCCATTTTCAACTGTCTGTGCTGGCCAGCCTGGAGCCCCCAGAAAAGCTGTGCCAGCCTGAGCCACCACTCAACCACAGAGTGGCTGGGGTCAGAACTGCTCTGGGCTCTGTATGGTTCAACTCCCTGCTCGGCAGGGCCAGCCCAGCCGAGGGCTGTGTCCAGACAGTTTCTGACTGTCTCTGAAGGATGACTGTCTCACAACTTCTGTGCAGCCTGTTCCAGGTCACTCACCCCCACAGTAAAAAAGCCCGGTCTCCTCCAGCAGATCTGGTTCCCCACAGCCACACAGTCTCTCCACTGCTCTTACAGCACAGCCCAGACCTCCTGCCAGACCCACCCTGCAGCACGTTCTGACTCCTGCATGGCACTGTGTCATCTCTAGTCTGAGTGAGCTGGCCCGGAGCTTACCTGTCAGCATGCAGGGCAGGGAGGACACCCTGGTCCCTGCTGCCACCAGAGAGGCTTCGTAGGTGCCACGCTCGTCCTGCGGCAGCGCCTGCTCCAGCCGCTGGTCCATGGACACGGTGAGCACCCAGTCCCTCGCCTCCTCCCGCTGCTCCTCCTGTGGGCAAAGGCCAGGGCCAGGCCTGGAACTGCGATGCTGCTGCCCGGCTGCAGCCCCACTGCAGCAGGGAGCACACAGGAGAACAGGACAGGCGTGCAAGGTGTGCACACAGCACACACATGCAAGGTGCACAGTGGGGGTTGAGAGCATGTGTGTGTTGGGGAGCGTAAGAGAGAGAGGATGTGTGTGTGTGTGTGTGTGTACAGGTATGTGTGTGAGTGTACTTACACAGCTGTGTGAGTGTGTACACAGGCGTGTGTGTTTTTGTGTGTGTGAGAGTGGGTGTGTGTTTTTGTGTGTGTACCAGTTGTGTGTGTGAATGTGTGTACACAGGTGTGTGTGTTTTTGTGTGTGCACACATCTGTGCACACGTGTTTGTGCAGCTGTGTGCACACGTCTGTGCATGCGTTGTGCATGCTCGCAGTGGAGGGACAGGCAGAAGGTGCTTCTTTCCATCCCCTGCAGCCTCTGCAATCCCAGCCCCACCCCAGTCCCTATTCAAGGGCCCTGAAGCAGCACCACTGCTCCCAAGAGCTGAAGACAACAGGTGACACTCACAGGCACGTGCTGATGGGCTGGAAGGGGCACTTCAAAGGGAATGTCTGTCTGCTGAAAATCAGAATGGTCCAGGGAATCCAGGTTCCCTTCTTCAATGGCCTGGAAAGAAGGAGTAGAGCACTGGGCAGTGCTGGTTGTAGAGCTCACAGTACAATTCATGGCCAGGATGCCCCTGCTTGTTGGTGCTGTGATGACCAGGCCCTCCTGTCATCCATGACCACACTCTGCAGTGTCTCTCAGACTCTGCCCCATTCAGGTGGCCTTTAGAAAGGGAAAGATGTAATTGAGTGCTTTTGTTTTCCCCCAGCTGCTGCTGACAGCACTTGAGAGCCTGGCACAGTGAGATGTGTCAGCTCTTTTGGATTTGGTGTTTCTGGTGGCCAGCCTGGTGGACAAGCAAGGGACTGAGGGGACTCCTGAGTCCTGTACCACAGTGGCCAAAGCACCGGGCTATGGCCTCCACCTCCCAGGTAGTTTTTCTTCCCTTGGTACAACTTGAGTGAGATCACCCTGAAAGCTGTAATGCCATCTGCAGCCACGAGGATTTCAGGCCAATGTGCTCTTTGCTGCCATGTGCATGGTGGCACTGGCATGCCAAGGGTGACTCAGCCAGGGCTGTGCAGGTGCCCTGCATGGCAGGTCCTCCCACAGGGAGTGTGAGGGTGCCCCCTGCTCCAGGCACACACTGAGAGGGGTCTGGGAGCCTCAGTTGTGCCTTGGCCAGCCTGGGGGTCAGTAATGGCCATGTGGCAGTAATGGCAGTGCCGCTGCCACTTTAGAGCCAGCCCTCCCTCCCCACAGACCATACTCACGTCTGAGAGGTCCAGGAAGTGGTTCAGGAAGACAAATGCCATGTTCTCCCAGCTGACTGCCTGGTATGGAGAGGAACCCTGAGTGAGACTCGGCAGCTCATCCTCACGGCCAGCTCTTCTCCCAGAGCTACGGCTAGGAAGGATGGGGCTCTGTTTGTGCCATAGTGTCCAACCAGCTCAGGCTGTCCCACAGAATGGAGACAGGCATTATGACCAGGCTGGATGGGACTTGGAGCAGCCTGCTCTAGTGGAAAGTGCCCTTGCCCATGGCAGGGGATGGAACAAGATGAGCTTTAAGGTCATTTCCCACCCAAACCATTCCATACTTCTATTTTTGCACAGCCAGGTCCAGGCAGCAAGGACATGCTGCTGTCCTTGCCACATATCACAGGTCCCAGGCAGACTGTCGGACACTTGGGTGATGTGGAGCAGAGCTAAGCAGCCTCACATGCACACTGACAGCCATAACATGGCCTCTGTCCACCCTGGGTCTGTAGGTCCCATCTGCTCACTGGCTGAGGTCTGGCCAGCTGCTTGAGGAACAGCCTCCAGTGAGAGTCCAGCAGCCAAGGGAGGATTTGGGAAGATAAAGTCCAGAATCCCTGAGCCCAGGGTGTCCCGTGTCCTTCACTGGTGCAGAGGCAGGTAGCTCTTACCTTGGCAGCCATCCCAGCCTCATAGAAAGCCTTGTCTGCAGGGAGCAGATCTGTGTGGCGCAGCAGGGAAATGGACAGCTGGGCAGCCACAGTGTCCTGGGGCACAGAGGACAGCAAAGACACAACAATTCAGCAAAGAGAAAACAGGTTGGAAGGGATCTCATGAGATCACCCCAGACTCACAGCAAGGACTCTGCACCCACACATGTCCTACAGGTAAAAAAGGTCGAAAACCTCAGTCGTGACCCTGAGTTCCCTCACACATGGACTGTCACCTGAGGGCGAAATTCTTCTGCTTTATAAGCCTTGCTATTTTTCACAAGAAGCCACACCCAAACATCCCCCATCTAAGTCACAAACAAGGTGAGGTTGGAAGGCACTGCTGGCTTGACATTGCTGGCATTTCCCAAATCGTGCCCCTAGCCCCAGTCAAAGCAGAAGCAGCTACATGCTTCAAGAACATGCCTAGTCAAGTTTTGACCATCTCAAGGAATGGAGATTCTCCTCTCCAACAAACCCATTCCAGCCACAGTCTCAATACATTTTTTCTTGTATACAATTATGTAAAAATTTTGGAGCAGGGTGAGGAATTGAAGAGTAATTTCACTTTTCTGCTGCCAGATACCCATTGTCACACAAGAACTGTCAAGGCCCCTCCTTCTTCATGGTCCCAGATAGACTGCCCAGCACCTCAACATTCCACAGCTGTGGAGATTTGTACAGGTTTCCAAGACATCAGACTTGGCTCTTGCTGTCTGACATGTCTCTGGACCCCCAACATCCACACATCCACAAGACTAGGAAGTCCCAGCCTTCCCTGTGGCTTTCACTGGGGTTCTTTTCCTTTTCCCTGCCTTCTCCATCACAACTCTAGTACCACATCCATCCAGAGCTCTAGAACAATCCCACATGGATCAAGACTTCAGCAGGGAGGCCAAGCAGGGAGGCCAAGAACAAATCCCAGTGCACACGAGACTCCAGAACAGTCACAGGGCCTTGTGATGCCCTCATACAGGTCCATGAACTCCCAAAGGCCCCCAGGAGGCCCAGCACCCAGGACCAGTACCTGCTGAAGCCCTGGGAGCCCAGGAGAGCAGAGAGGAAGCCACATCCCTCTCTTGGGAAGATCAGGGTTTTTGTGATTCCTAATTTTCTACGGGCACCTCCACTCTCACAATTTGTGCCAAGCACAAGGATCAGCTCCTCCCTGTTTACAGCTCAGCCACAGTGGCTGGGACAGTACCCACGGTACACAGGTAACACCACCTACAGTCCCACCTGCTAGTGGTGGGCTCCCAATTACTGCAGTCCCATCCTCATGCATCCATGATGGGTGATTTGTGAAGTGGAACAGTAACCTCTGAACA